ACACAAAGCCAAATTTAATAAACAGTAAGTCTTCGCATTTAAAGTTGAACAGTAGACTGCAATGTTTGAACAAGGCAATAAACACCTCTCTGAAAAGCAGTAATGACTACCTCATCACAGCGCGCTTGCAAAGTTTTAGAAACAAAAAAGCAAATTACAAAAATAAAAGCACACTAACAGAGCTGCAATTTTTTTAGATTAGCTCTAACAAAACAAGTTAAAAAAATTAAAAAAGAAAAAAAAGGAGCCATGCTTACTCTCTTAAGAGCACTGGAGACAAAGAGAGCCAGGGCTCTGTCCCTGTCAAGAAGGGAACAATAAACAAATCATCTAGTAGTCAGCCAGGGCTGCATACCCAAGAAGGCATGCTTGGATCCTGCAGCTCACTCAGACTAAGAAAAGGAGAGATTTGCTATTTCTTTGGTTTTTAACAGGTTTACACGAAGCAGAACAAGTGTATATTCGCCATCGCTGACTGTACACACAGCACAAGTTATTTCTTCGGAGAGCAACTTCCAATTTGCGCGCAACTGATCCCTGCACCACTGTTTCTTGAAACTCGGAAACAAAGCAAGGGTAAGCACTGCACCCCGCCTTACCAAGAGCCAACACATCAGCTGTCTGAAAGCAAGGAAGAAAACTAAGCAGCAATCAAAGGAAGGAAGGGCCATGTCCGTCACATATCAATGAGATGAATCCAGTTACACAGATTTTAATTTTTAAAATGGAATTTACTCAGGGCCCTCGCGTTAGTTTTCCTACTGCTATGAAGGATGCCAGCCGGCCTTCAGCAACCACACCTGGAGGTCGAGACTGCAGGGTCGCATCTCCCTAAAAACGCTATGGTCTCCTTTAATCCCTATGAAAGGCTTCTGCGTTGACTCAGAGGAAAGAATGCCACCTAGTGAATTACTCACACAACACTAAAATGTCCCACCTATATTTACCTGGCCTCATTGTGCAGCAGAAGATTTTCTTCACCATTTACTGGTGTGAAGATTATCAGGAGAGAAGGAAAAGAGAAAAGGAGGGGAGGCCGGGGAAGAAGAACCTATTTTAAAATAGGTCATTTCCAGCTGTAGCTATTGGCAACTGGTGGATCCGGGCAAACTAAAAATAAATTTTACAGTTTAACAAAACCAAGATTATCACAAACTTCTGCACTGCCAAAGACCATGCTCCATGGGAGGCAAGAGCCCTTTGGAGGTGACCTAGCTGGTGGCTCAGCAGGATCCATGTGTACACCCATCCTGCTACCCAGAACAGGGCCAAGAAGGAGCTCCTGGCACTGACCCCCAGCTCACGCATGCCGTTAGCTCACACCTCAACGCTCCTCTGGACCATTCTGGCCAGATCACACCAGATGAGCTTATTCCACAGGGGGCACCAGCTGGAGCAGCGTAGGCAAGACCTAGCCAGTGCCACCCAGCCTCCACATCAGAGACTGAAGTCCCCAGGCCTCTTATTTGACAACCTTATAGCCACTACACAATTGTGTTTTTTAAGGTGCATCTTCCACCCCCCCCTCGACGGTGATTTTGGCCATTTCTGGGATTCCTGAGTACCCTGAATGTCTGAAGTTACATGAAAATGTCTCATATGCTTGCACAGCTCAACTGTATGTCCACTGACTACCCATGCAGCACATCTCTCATGGTTTCTGTCCTGGCTTTCCCAGAAGGAAATATGGGGTCCCCATGTGCGAGTCTAGACTCCAGTAAAACCTAGGCAGCAGGGTCTCCACAGCATTCACAATCTAAAATTCACTGTTACCAAGCAGATGACCCTGTTCCATTAAACCAATGGATGCTTGATGCGGATGTGACTCTTAAACCATTTATTAAAAAAAAAAAAGCTACTTTAACCTTTAATTTAAAGGTTCAATTCATTCTCAGCAGGTTTTTGCCCTCTTTACAGAGCAGAAAAGGTATAGCACAAAAGTACAGCACTTCACATCCCACTATATTAAAACAATGTATTTTAGCTGAATACAGTTTAATTACAGCTTACTTTGGTACACTCATATATTAATTAACAGTTTACTTGGAAATTCCCACCATATGGTACAGTAGCAGATGTTAAACATGTAAGGCCAAACATTTTAAAATTACTCTCCTAGAGACTTCATCTGAGGTACCAAGTGCCCTAAATTTCTACCTTTGAAAAAAAAAAAAAAAAAAAAAAAAAAAGAACTGGAAATGCTGAATGCCCTACAAGATCCTGTCCACAGCTATTTTCTCAAAGATAACATTATTTGGCAGCTAAGCAGAACACAAAGGGCTAGCTTTTCAGTCCTCCAGTACTTTAAAATGACTTGATACACAGCCAGTGGGGAATTTGCCACATAATTCCCTGCACTGGAAACCTCACGAAAAAATTCCCTTTCTCTCCTAGGCGTTTCCTAATCCCCATCTACAGTGAAGGAGGAAGGTATGCATCAGCGTATGTTTACATAGCATTCCAGCTCATGGGTGCAACAGATCACTGATATCTCCTAACACCTCACCTTCCTTTCCTTGCAGGAAAAAAAAGCATTATCAGGAAAAGCAGAGTCTTGCTGCTAGACAGTCAGCTATTTCAAATCTCAGAGCACATGTCCTGCTCAGTCCAACTGTCCCACAACCACAGAAGTTAGACTCCCTGCAGTGTTGCAATTAGGTTCGTATGGCAGTTGATTTCCTCTGTATTTTGAGTTCCTCATGGGCCAAAGGTTGGGCCCCAAAACATTTTCTTTTTGAAAAATACAACTCATCTCCCTACTTCAACCCTTTAGAAAAAGTAGATGCATCTGAAAAGATGGAAGAGAGGAATGAAGAAACTGCGATATTTCATAGCATCACCAATAAGATATTTGGAAATCCTTATTCTACAGCATTTGTCTTGATAACTATTCAGCTTCTAACCTGCACTATGTTCATTACATAAACTATTTAAGTAATAAGTGTGATATTAGTATAATTTTGTTTTATTTAGACCTAGAATTCTGAAACTAGCTTATCCTGCTAAAGGACAAGCATTTGCTAATGGCGATCATCAATATGGTTATCCTATGACTTAATTAAGAAATAGTAACCTCTTGAAAAAGAAACAGCAACTATATAGAATAGAAATCTGAAGAACAAACTTCCTCCTTCTCCTAGTTGCATACCTTTGGACGCAAGCATGAAGAATTTTCTCAGAAAACAATTTTGTCCTAATCCTTTTGAAATCAATAACAAATACTACTACTTGACTCCGAGAAATACAGTATAATCAAATCCTACAGTAACTTTACTGAGATTAAATGGTTATCTACACTTCTGAGGATCAGACAGAAAGGCTGGACCATTTGTCAATTTGGATTTTACAAAATAAAAGTGCCTGGTTTATTATCAGAGCACCAAAAGACAACTAGCAGCAAAGATTCTAAAAATATATATATATATATTTCAAAACTCTCATCTGAAAAGTGATCTGGTTTATGTCTCTGCCCTGAAAAATTCTTGACAACCATTAACCAGGAAAGGCATTTGTAAATTGCTCGGTTTAATACTGCAGCGTGCAAATAAATCTGAGTAAGATCAGAATATGGAACTTATTGAAGTGTTGCAAAAAAACACTTGAGAAAACATATTGTGAGGCCATATTTAAACTAACAGATGTTTCAGAAACAGAACAGTATGTTCAAACAAAATAAAGGTGTAAAGGGGCAGCATTAAAAGAGCTTCGCAACTAGCACGTTCATTTTGATAGCGAGTGAGACCACCTCACTGAGGAAAGCTCTCTCCCTGAAAGATTATTAACTTAGGAATGAATTCTCACATTATGTTTAAAATTTGTCTGTATGAATTACTTGCAGAGTGGCTGCTTATGTAACATTGCCTTTGCTATGGCAACACACATTGTCACATTTGAGTTTCAATTTCAGTCTTGTTCTCTGCTGATAAGCAATGCTCCCGAAGTATTTAATCAGAAACCGAGATGCTCTAAAATAGATAACTGTAACCGATGGGGTGGCCATTGATACTGCTAAAATTCCTGATGTCGTAAGGGTAAGCAAAAAGTCAGAGATTCACAGGAAAAATAAATAAGCTAAAGAGAGATGTCTTACAGCAGTGCTTTCACTATAGTTTTAAAACTGGAGTCTTTAAAACAAAAGTTTAGAATAGTATGCTTTGACCCTTGACTATCAGCCTTTGTACAAACTCCCCCCTCCAAAAAGACCTCCAACATGCCTTGCTGAAATTCTTATTGCTCTGTTACAAATGCAATACTAACGATCTGTAAGTGAAAAAAACTGCAGGAGTTCATCATAATTAAACCCAAAATATGGCCTTATATCACATTTTTCTACCCACAGCTTTTCGTGCGAGGTATTACAGCAAGAGTCATAACTCTGTTTAATAGAATCACTTAAAAGCTAATGGAGTACCACCCGTACCCTCTGATAACTGAGAATTTCAGTTCACTTTTCTTGGAGAAATCCCCATTTTAGTGCTGACAAAATGCAAAACATCTGATCTATTGCATACATGGCTTTTAGCAATGACTAGTCAAGTTGATGACTATTCTGCAGCTCATCAGCCATCTACACAACTTTCACAAGAAACAGAAGTTTTGGAATACAAGTATTTTTAACACTTTAATATTCAGGTTTTGTTTCCCGGAGACAACTCTTGTCATCTGCACATTATTTCTAATTCTCACATTTGTTAAGGTACCTTCCAAAAAATGAAGAAAAGTAGCATGAGAAGACCCTCAACTCAATAAATTATTGAAAACTAAGAAGAAAGCTAAATCTGAAAGCCTAAAGTGAAGCATATGCACCTGTGCAAGTGCACGTCCTCCCTACCGTAAGTCAGATGCTCATATACCTTTGTGGCACTACAGTCCATTCTGGAAAAAGTGCTCTTCTGAAATCTGTGCGTAACAGAAACTAGAGAAAGCCAAGGTAAAAAAAATGAGCTCTGCAAGTAGGTTGGATAGCGACCCTGAACACAGTCATTCTCACTGTTGCTCACCCAGATCCATCGGCTAGATCCCAGAGCTGCAGAAGGTTTGATGCCTTCGCGGATGAGTTTCCCTGCTGCTACCTGACAGTTCAGGAGCTCCAGTGGGATCTGTGTATTGCCACCAACGTCATGGGGCTCTATACAAGCAGGAGCAGGCATAAAAGGGTCCCCATAACAACATTTCTTCTTTTTATTACAAGCTGTTAGAGCCTTTCATTTCAGAGTATTTCCACAAACGCTTGCATTTTCTTGAAGAAAAACATGTAATGCCAGCTACACCAACTAAAACGTAGTTGTCAGCAGCCAGTGATGACATCAGTGCAAACATATGAAAACGGACATGAATTTCTGTACAAGATGAGTAGATAAAAACTCAGTTCTTAAATCCATGTAACATTAAATGAACTAAATGGTCCCACTCTGCGCTCTTTTTGCTAGCACATTCTCTTCTCCTGATCCTTCTACATACATCTGTATCCCTCTAAATGCAGGTAAAAGTGCCTTATACAGGTAAAAAGTCCACACTCCTGAGCATCCTTTAGAGCATCAGATTTCAACCTCTTCAATGACTGCCATTACAGCCGTTAAGTATTGGCTCTACGAACTGCCATTTAGCAAACGTAAAACAAACATTTAAGCTTCCTTACATAAAGTAATTTATATTTTTTCCAGGTGGACTACATTTTTTTTTTTAACCAGACTCTGCCACTGTGAGAATGGCACTGAACTAAAACAAGAATATTGTTAAAAGGAGCAAGGACTTATCAAACGGCACCATTATAAATAACTCAAACAAAAGAAGTTAAAAATACAAGACTCAATTACTTTCCAAACACCAGGACATTTTTAATTGTGTCTTGCCTTTGAGCTTTCTGAGGACCTCAGAAACGTGAGACGTATCTGACACGTTCCCTACATAAGAGGGCGAAAGCCATGACGTTCGACGGCGATCCACCTATGCAGCATGTCAACGTCTTACAGCGCTGCAGTAGGATCCACATAGGTCCTCATAAGGAAAGGCAGAGGAGTTGATTAACATAGTTTCAGCTCACTGATCCATGCACGGCCTTTAAAATTAGCGTTAAATATACAAAAAGCAAAATAACAACACAGTTTGAATCCACCTCAGTATTCATCTTATCCTCCACAGACAGGTATGCAATCCTGAGGGAGAGAAGAGCTAATCCAACTGCCTGTTTTCCAGCTCTATGACAGTTAACTCACTGTAGGTGGGTTCGCTTTAAACTACACAAAACTTCATTTGCTGACACAGGCTGTGTGGGGTTTTTTTATCATTTCCAATTATAAATTTTTGATTAACACTGGATACTTTAGTCCAGAACTTATTATAGTATAGATTTTCACAGATAAAAATTTAGACAGCCACTTACTTGCCAAAGCAATTCCATGTACATCTCTATAAACGAGCAGAGTTAAGAGTCCATTAAAGGATTCATAGACCAACTGTGTATATTAAGCAATGAAAAAATGAAAATCTATTTGAGAGACTCTATTTACTCAGCGAATACCCATGGGTCTCGAGCCTGCTCCTTACCCAGCCATCCAGTGGGGAGCTCGGCACTTTTACATAACACTTTCAAGTTGGAAAGCTTTTCCTCTCTTTGTTTCTCACATCTTTACTATTAGGCCCAATGCTTTATCATTGGGCTGAACAAAATGCCACTGATGTAATGGCTCTTTCGCCTAAATAAGGAATTCCAGACAGGGCCTTTTATTGCAAATGTTCAGGTCATACCAGCAGTACCATCACAAAAACACTGAGAGCAATAAAATCTAAAGTGTTTCATTTCCCCTTACTTTCAGATAATTGTAAACAATGTTAAACAGTAGGGTTTTCCTTTTTCAAAAAAGACTTTGCTTTGAACACAGAAATTTGTTCTGAAGAATGCCTTTAAAGGGCTACTCTTAGCAGACGTATTACATAATGTAGCACTTACTTTAAAACACGAGGTTAAAACCAAGTTCAGCGTTTAAAATTCAGTAAAATAACCCCAGCAACTCAGCAAAATATTCTAGTATCTTGAAGTTTAATGTAATTTATGCAAATGAGGATTGACTTCCATTAATGCAAAGACCACTAATGCACTCACCCCAAAGTTCTCACGAGAAAGATATATTCATATTTTACTCATTTGTCCATCTTGGATACCTCTTAAAATTTAAAACACACATCAGTTATTTTTGAGACTTTCTGCAATGCAGTTTTGGGGAAATAATGTGTTTAAACCAGTGGAAGAACCTTCTTTTTACATGGATTTCAAGACGAATGTTCTGCAATACTTCAAACAATTGGCAAGGAAAATAAAGTTATTGAAGCCAAGATGACTTGTCCCTACCTGCTACACCCCTTCCTTCCAAACTTTGCAAGTCATTATCCATCAGGTAGAATAAGACCTGCACATGACTGCTGATCTTACTAATTTCTAAGCTCAATTTTTGAAGCTACATTGGCTATCTCAGTGTTTCTCCTCCAACAGGTCTAGTCAAAGGCAGGTGCTTTAGCTCTTTGCCTGTCATTCTAAATGAAGTTTCACCTGCAATTCAGAATATAACATGAAGAAACGAAAGCTTGAAACAACACATATATGTTTGCTCAGTAAAAATGGAAGTAGTTCAGAGAAGCAATTGAGCATTCTCATCAAAACAGACAGTTTAAACATCTGAAAGTAAGCTTTGTAACCAAAGATTTAGGAGTGATTGCAATAATTCTTTTTTTCCTACAGCTCACATAATTATTTTTAAAAATAGATCTATAGGTCTGTGGATCCACAGGCTTCCAATTACAAACAGTTAAATAGCCTCATAATTTTAATATTGTATTTTATCTAGCAAGCCTGTCGTTTTTAAATAATTGATTTGATAGTGATGCAATATATCAAAGAGAGTATGTAAGATATTTCAGCGGTCATTTATGAAAAATATTTGATTTATTACGTTTTTGAAGTGTTTTAAAAATGCAGTATCTGCAAATTCATTAGTTTTCTGCATTCCTGAAATAGGGGGGAGGTATCTCAGACATCGATCTGAAATAACTCCTACACAATCTTTTTTTAGAAGTAAAAACATTAGAGGATAAATAGCTGTAATGCAACATTCTAATGTTGCAAGTGGCTTGTTTTTAATACTGATCATCTGTAGGTTTTTTTATTTAATATTTGCCAGTCTCTTAGAAGATGAACCATCACTTTTTTTTTTTTTAATTCTATGGATTGAGAGTGCTTCAGGAGCAGCAAAACTCTATATGTTACTGAACATAGTTATAACTCGATGGCTATAAATGCCAGGATGGAATAACTGAAAACATATGCTCTATGCCTGAAATTTTAAGGATGATGAAACTGTCACATTAGTAGCATGCAGCATGTTGTAAAGAACTCCCACAATGTAGCAGTTGTTCAAAAGTTGTACCCATCCGGTCATTCTATCTTTATAAAAAGATACATAATACTAGATGGTGATTTATTCAAAACACAGCTGCAGCCTAGGTTAGAGGTAACAAAAAAAAAAACCTTTTTAAATCATAGCTTTAAAGCCATGTCTGTGTCTACAGAATAAACATATTTCTAAAAGTCTGAATCTTATCCTCATTGGGCTTGTGCTTCGGGGAAGGGAGAAGAGGACAGGTGAGGAACCAGGAGAAGGCGGAGAAGCAGCCTCAACAAACGTCAGCCCAATATACGCTTCCAGTTTAATGTCAATAACGGATCATTAAGTCGCGACCTGCGCGATTTACGAACCTGAGGCTAGCCATCCTCAGGTGCCTTTAGAAGAGGGAAAGGAGCTGAGGCAGAAATATTTGGCGCAAGCAACTCGTTTCATGGCAGGGCCCATGAAACCCGTGACCCCCGGGCTCCGCAGGGGCGCGGGCGGAGAGGCCGCCCC